TTAAAATACTTTTATTATTGCTCACTCTCTGCTTTTGAATTTGCACCGTAGTTTTAATATTGAAATACGATAAAGAGCTATACGATAAGAGAGTCATTTAAAAAAAAAAGTATTTTCAAAAGTACTTTATTTTTATTCTGAATGGGAAAAATATCAAAAAATTTTAGCGCATATAAACGTGATAAGACATGAAAGTACATTATTTGCGAGATCATATCGTCTTTCTAGGCGTCTAATAATTATTGCTTCGATGTGTGTAGTCGCAATGTAATCTGTTATCGTTACAAGTTCTCGTTGTATCTTGATAAATAAATAGAGAGTGAGTAAAATGTTGAAATATTGAAATGTCTCGTTATATTTATGCGAGGCTTCGATGATTCGTGCAATATCAATCGTTGGGTTAATCTCGTATTGATATGGTATTATTTTAAATGGTAACTTTCTAATTGTTTTATGAGGAAGAATAATAATAATTTGTTTTTAATTAAAAGAATTCAATATCATTCAATCATTAAAAAATTTATAAAATATACTAAAATTTATGTTTTTTTAACAGTACTATTTGTAATTAGTAATATATATATATAATTATTTTTTTTATTAAAATTTATTTATAAATTATAATATAAGCAAAGAGGCAATCACCAGTAATATTTCAATAAAAATACGAATTTTATTTCAAATATTTTAACGAATAATAATTTTTATTTTTGAAAATAATACAATGAGCAATTAATAGAAAGAAAAAAGTGAATTTAAAAATTATACATGATGAATGCAAGAAATGTCATTTCACTTTCGATATATTTTCTGACTGAATAATCAATTTTCAAGATGTGAATTCTTTTTGAAGCAAGATAATAAAAATTATACTTTTGTATCAATAGAGTGCGTGCGATAAATAATTAAGATGATGAAAGAAATATATTTAAATCCTTTGGTTTTTTATTTTTTATCATTAGATTATTAGATACTATCTTTAAAGAGACTTTTAAATATTCCCTAATTTGTACAAATGGGATATTTAGAACAATGAATTTTTAAAAATGTTATCGAGATCAGTTTATTCTTCGTTAATTTAATATATGTATATACATAACGTGCGCGCGCGTGCACATACATATACACACACATACATACACACATGTATGAAGTGGTCACCGAATCGGCGACATTTTATTAATCCAATGCTTTGTACTTTATAATTTTATTAATAAAATCACTTTTGCTTTGAACATATATGTGTATTGTACAATTTTTGTTTCGATGATCAAAAATATATATATTTTAACTTTATATAAATAGATACATTATAATATTATTATAATTTTAAGATTATATAGAATTTCAACTCATAATAATTCAATATTATACATAATAATAAATTATATCATTATTTACAAAATTATGTCATTATTTTTTTTTTTAAAACATATTTTTTGTTATTAAAAATCTATTTATAATTATTAAATCTATTTTTTCATTAAAAAATTTTATATTTTTATATTTTTAAATTAAATTTGAATTTGAAAATATTAAAAATATCGAATTATAATAAAAATAAATATATTATTTGATTTTATTATTACAAAAAAAAATTACGTGAGCATACTCGCAGATGCTGGTTCAAGACGTACTGTATTTCTCTGAGCTAAACCACCATGATTCTTTTGTCTCCATTCAAGCCATCGTAATAAATCTGGGCTTTGTGAAGTATCATTAATATCTGTTCGAGCTTCCAATTGTTGATAATATGCTTCACGTAATAGTCGAAATGTTTGTACATTTTTATATGGTAGATGAGTCATAGGATCTAAATATTTTGCTGGAAACCTATATTTTTTTTTTTATATTTAAATTTATCAATATTTTATCTATTAAAAATATTAGATTATTAAATAAATTAATAATCTAATATCTCACCTTGTAATTGCACATAAGGGTTTTATTGGTGATTTCTGTATTGAAGATTTTTTGAATGCTTCCGAAAATAATTGTTCATTTTCAAACGTAATGAAAGTTCTTTCATAATATCCTTTTGTTTGTTCATAATAATATTTGCTTTTGTTAGAACTTTGAGAAGATTCTTTTTTAGTAATATCCTTTGTACCATTTTCTGGTTTTACAGTTATACTATTGAAATAAATAAAAAATTAAGTTTTATTATATTTTTATTTGAAATAACAGAAAAGTTATACTTTACTTTTCTATTGTTTCATCTGGACGTTTATTTTCAAAATTTGTATTTTTTTCATCTTTTTCTATATTCATTTTATCTTCTTCTTTATTGTAATTTACCTCAGAAAGTATCATAATAGGCATTGCTAATGATTGATATCTAATCATAGGTCCTGTTTGGGCTTTTCTTATAGTTCTAGTATTTTTCTTTTCATTTTCTAATTTCTGATATTTTTCTGTAAATAATAAAAAATTTTTTAAATTAAGCAAAAATAAAATATTACCATAAATATGTATATCATACATGATATATATAATAAATTTTTTTATTATTTGAAATTAATTTTTTGCAAATATAGAAATTCTATTCTAAATTTTTTAATGAAAATTAAGCAATTCACCTAATGATTTCATATTAATCTGTTCAGTTTGCAATGCTTCTTTCAATAATTCTTCTTGAGTAGGTTTCCATGTATCATGTCTTATGACTCTTGTTCTCCTTTTTTGATGCTCATTTCTTTCACTTAATCTCTTTTGTGTTGCAGCTGATTTAGCAGCAGTAGAACGACGGATAGATTTTCTTTCTATAAAGAATTATATTTTAATTTCTGTCTATATGATTTAATATTATGTTTGATAATATTTATTTTAAAAATATATCACCTGTACTTTCATTAAAGATTCTTTGCCTTGGTTGCCTAATTTTTTTCTCTTTAGATGGTAATTGGGATTGAACTTTAGGTTCTTTGTAAGCTTTTGTAACTAATCTACGTTTTTTTTTTGGTCCCTCTTGTTCGGTATCAGAAATAGGTTCATCATTTTCATCTATACTAAAATCTGAATCTACTTCATCTTCTGCTTCATCTTCCTCCCTAAATTAAAAAAAAAAAATTAAATAAAAATTAAATTAAAAATTAAACAAGTTTTTAAAAAATTAATAGATTAAATGATATTAACATATAGTCATGATCTTGTTCCACTTCATCAAAACCTCCATAAGTTGTTTTGTAAAAATCATCCTCTTCTTCTTCATTTAATAATTTTGCCATTTTATTTCCTGCATTTGTACGCCGTTCTCTATTCAATGCCATTTTTGCAATTATTTAAATTATTTTTCTTCAAATTTATTCGTTAGTTTTTATTTTTTCAAATTATTCTCTTGTTTGTCCGTTATTAAATGTAGATTATTTTAACCTAAAAATAGAAAATAAAACACTTACTACACCAATCATTCATAAATTCATAAATTATATAATATTAATAATAAATTATGATAATGAATAAATAATTTACATTTTAATACAATAAAAACATTTTTTTTATTTTTTATATTTTGTTATATTTGTTAGATTTATTGTGTATGATTTATTAACAAAATTTCGTACTGTGATATTTTCGATAATTATCAATACCATTGTTATTAATAATTGTTATCAATAATTATCAATAATAATATATTTTAAAATTATGGTTATATTTAAATTTGAAAAGTAAAAATATTTTTATATTTTGTTATTAAGTATTTTTTATAACGAATATACTT